AATATTTACGTACAATGATCATTCGTTATCATCGTTATCCGAGCAGCTCGGATCGTTTGTGTTCCCGTTGTATTTCTCGGTAGTTAGCGACAAAGTACGCGGATAATCTTCCTTCGTGCAATATTCCACGGAAAAATACGTCGCCGGTTTAATGCGTTTCTGGATATGTATCGTGGCAATAAACGTTCGAAATACTCGTTCCTTCGTTCGCTACTTATCTTCTGCACCTGTTTATCTGCGCTCATATTTTACTTCGTTATGAGAATTCCTTACACTTATCTTGAGACGATTATCGACAACCTCGTTCGATTCGCGCGAGAGTAATTGAAACTAGTTCACCTGGTTATTGTAACGAATTTCCTATTAATGTTTTTTCCTATTAATTTTTCCTATTAATCCAATAATTTGCCAATTAATAATATTAGTTCGAGACGTATAGATATGTCAGAATGTAGACTAGAGACTTTTGTTGCACATAGTTTTGTAATTTTGTATCGAGTAGAGAAATCAGTCGACTTGTGAAACTTTGATTTCTCTACTGTCAAATTTCTCACTGCTATTTGTCAGAATTTTTTGCGAAACTTATTTATATTATTAGGATTTACAATCTGTATTTTATAACAAAGTTTCTTTAATAGTATTGACTCAGTTGTTCTTTTACATGATAAAAGGTATATAATTTTGTTGAAATAAAAAATTTCTCTTTACGTCCACTTGCAAAACGAATGGCAATTATTCATTTAATTTTTGTTTGAGGTATTTTTAAATTTTAGTATTTAAAGTATTTTAAGTAAAATTATTAGTTGCAGAGTAATCAGTGTGATCTTAATTATATAGTTCATTTTAGGAATTCGTTAAAAAAAAAAGACATTTATCGAACAAAGAGAGTCAAAAGTCTAGAATAACTAACAGATAGTATACAAAATACTTAGAAAAATGGCTTGTTGCGGTTCACTTACAATAGATGCATTTACAATAGATAAGTTAAGATTTTGACAAATTTAGACAAATAAACTTGTAATTTAAATGAGTTTACATTTAAACTATACAGTTCTTTATCTTGAATCTTATTTAAAAAGTTCTCGTCGTTTTAACCTTTCTATAATAAAATAACATTTTATTTTTGCTTTTTCTGATTTTTAATTTTCATTTTATATTGCAAAGTGTACAATGTCTTTTATATAAAATTCTAATTTTCAATTTAAAAATTAAAAATTATTTAAAAATTACATTATATAATGTTTTTCATTATTTCAACTTTTTTTTATAATAATATTTTATATTTCTACGATAAAATGACCCTTTATTTTCGCTTTACTCTGGCTTTTAATTTATATTTTAAATTTATATTTTACACAGCCTTTTATTTAAAATTCTGATCTTCAGTTCGAAAATTAAAAGTTGTTTAAAAATTACATCATTACATTTTTCATCACCTTTTTGTATTTCTATAATAAAATGGTATTTCATTTTTATGCCTCTCTAATTTTTATTTTTTGGGAACTTCATATTTTAAAGTATATAAAGTCTTTTATTTAAAACTTTAATTTTTAGTCAAAGTAATATTAATAATTATTTAAAAACTTTGTCATTATTTTAATTTCTCTGTTATTCCATAACAAATTGACATTTCTTTAATTTTTAATTGTATTATAATATATAATATATATATAATTTAATTTAATTTTTTTTAATTTGAGTAATTCGTATTTTGAAGCGTTTATAATCTAAACCCTTGTTCGTTTGAACAAGTATCGTAAACAGTAACTCTTACATTGCTGTTTTCATTCGAAAGACTTACCACGCCGGTTAGTGATCGATGGTAATCGTTTTGTATCCGTAAAAAAAACATTCGCAAAGCGGCAGAGGCCTCCGATTTTTCACCTTTGTTCATTTATTCCCTCGATTTTTTTTCCTACTCGCTACCGAAAAAAAAAAAAAAAAAGAAAAAATCGATCGATTTCACGTTATCGTCCAAGTTTCAGCCGCGTTACCGTTTTAATTCGCCGCTGTTGCACGGCCGATTTTTCACAGCGACGATTGCTCGATTAATCCCGTGAACCAAGTTTGTTCCTGCATATTTCATCGATCTGCCGGCCCTCGATCCTTTTTTAAGTTTGTTTGTTCCAATCGTGGATATATCTGCCGAATGAAAATCGTACATTTACTAGAGGGAATAAACAGAATAATTGCATTGTTGACTTTTTGCAAAAGTGTTTCGAACGGAAGAGCTCGCTTGTCGAAAGTCGAACTTCTGCCTTTTCTAACAAAGAAAATTTCTAATATCGACTTAATAACAATATTTCCTTTCCTTGTCTTTTTGAAGAATTATTATGAAACAAGCTTGAGTTGATTTTCACTTAGAATTAGAAAATAATAATTTGCACCGTGTACATTGAAGAAATATTAATGAATTGTTTGAAGAGAATAGGAGTTAGTCTTTGTAGGGCATTCTGAAGTTTTTTAGAGAATTTTATAAGAATAAATTACTATGCGAATTTTGCTGCCACGAGAAAATCTCAAACAAGAATCAAAGAAACTTCAAAATTTGCTATTAATCGCAGATTGATTTAATTTTTAAATTTTTTTTTAACTTTTTAATTTTTATGTAAATTCATGTCTTTGTGAATTATAGGCATTGTATTGAAATTTTGAACATGCTTTATATATTTTATATAATAATACATTCCGTGCATTATTGGATTCTTAAATTATTTAAATTATTTAATTAATATTTGAAATTTAATAATTTCTATATAATTATCATTATGTTTTTTAAAAATCCTGATAAAAAATATTTATACATGTTTTATGTTCATAAAATTATAGAATCTGTAGAAGATATAATGGTGGAAAAATGCAAAGCGAATCTCTCCACAGCCTCAATATTAAAATTGATAAATTAATTGATAAATATTACAAATTAACAGATTAATTAAAAATATCAAAACAACAGTGTGAAATATTTGAAAATGATTAACAATACTTTGAATTTTAGAATGTTTAATAAAAAATCCATTTATATCCGAATACTATTCATTGAATAGTATTCAGTGTCAGTGTTTTGCTACAAATATTGAGAAAAATTCTATTTTATTTCAGAACATTTATTTAGAACTTATTAAGAACGTTTGGAGCTTATTAAGAATTTATTTGCCGGGATTTGTACTGTAAGAACATTTTTCGAAAAACTTCTACGACTCATGTTTCAAATAGAATTTACTGAAAAATTCCTCAATCCTTTCGATCCCTTGTTTAAAATATCGGTCATTTTTCATCGGGTGTGCGAATACTTTTGCCCACCTCTGTGAATCACTTGATTTACTACCTCTAAATCTTCCACATTCTCAGCGTATTTGCCAAAGTTTGACCTCTTAACTCAAACAAATAAGAATAGTAAATGGAGAAAGCTAGTGAGTCTCTGTTATCTAAATTCCTCGGTTATCCAAACAGATAAACAAAGTTCCACATCGTATAGGATTAGCACAAATATCACGAATGAATAATACAATATCTTTTTTTCGCTGAATATACGATAAAGCAACTGCGATAAAAGAATATTATTCTTGCGTGCAACACTTGGAGAAGCAATAAAAATTTGTGCATCATAAAGTTTATATTGCTCAAAAAATTAATATCGATTGTAAAATTAATGCTATCGATCATAAAAATTGATATAACTGCACATACTGAATATTAACGCTAAAGGTTGATTCTACACGCTGGTTTTATAAAGGGTGTCCGATTTTAACTCATAAATATGGAGTGCTGGTTGTATAAAGAAATACAATAGTTCAGATAGAAAGTGAATATTTTTGAAGAGATCATAATTTTTAGTGTAATTAATAGGATTTAATGGTAGAAAATCAAATAGAATACACGAAAATATGTAGGAAAAGTTTTTCTATATAGTGAGTGATCTATCAGTAATTAATGACCAAAGTGATCAAAATAATTAAACTTTTATAAAGCTCTATATTTCGTAGATATAAAATGTAAATGTATTTTTAAAGATTTAAATGATTTTTATATAGTTATATAATATTCTTATATAATGTAGTTCCATAATATATATAAGATAATATTTCTATATGTAATATATATCTTAATAATAATAATATACATAGATGAAAGCTTTGGAGATCTATTATATTATAAAGTTTTTCACTATAAACTTTTGCTATACTTATTCTTTACTTTTACTATACAATTTTGTATACTTTTACTACACATACTAGTACTTTTACTATTACACTTTTGTATACTTTTACTGCTTTTACTATATATATTAGTACTATACACTTTTGTATAGTTTTACTGCTTTTACTACACATACTAGTACTTTTACTATACACTCATGTATACTTTTACTGCTTTTACTACACATACTAGTACTTTTACTATACATTCATGTACTATACACTTTTGTATACTTTTATTACACATACTAGTACTTTTACTATACACTTTTGTATATTTTTACTACTTTTATTATACACTTTTACTATATATACTAGTACTTTTACTATACACTTTTGTATACTTTTACTGCTTTTACTATATATACAAGTACTTTTACACTTTTGCATACTTTTACTATTCTTACTATACACTTTTGCATACTTTTACTATTTTTACTATACACTTATTACTTTACTATTTACTGTACACTTTTGCATACTTTTACTATTTTTACTATACACACTAATACTTTTATTATGCACTTTTGTATAGTAAATCTGTATATTAAATGTGTATATTTACTTGTGTATAGTAAATGTGTCCGATCGAAATTTGATGCCTTATTCATCGATAGTTCCATTGTTAAAAATCTGTCTTTAATGCCGGGCCAGCAGATCGTATAAGAAAAAAACCGAAAAAATTAACGAATTAAATAAATTTTAGAATACATCCCGGTGTAAAATTTTTGTCGAAGATTTTTCAAAGAGAACGCGCGTGGGCCTAAACGATCCTCAATGGGGTTTGTTGAAATTTTTCAGATGGAAAAGAAAGAGAGAGTAATTGCCGAGTGGAGATGATTCCCTACTAACAGAGTGTGAAGATTAACCGAATGTTGAAGTGAGAGCCGTATTAACGTGTTATTAACGGCATGTAACGAACACCGCTGTGGTAATCATGGAGAATGCCTGCCGGTCGACTTGGAGTAATCTGAGAGCCACCAGGGGTAAGTCGATTTTGACTTATATTTGACTTTTACGTTTCGTACTATTTTATTTCTCGCTCGACCGCACGCGCTCGGTCGTCCGACCGTTTTTCACGCGATGAAACGATTTTTCATTGAAGGAGAATCCTTTTGCACGCAGTCTGAGGTTGCTTTTCGAGATTTAGACTGATCTTTAAGGGGGCAGGCCGAAAAATTACGAATGCTTCGGAGGGCTAGTAAAACAAAAGTACATTATGAACTATAAAAAGCGACATTATAAGAGAAAAAAAGTGGGCTCTTATTTAACTTTTTAACGGCATCCTTTTACATAACTTTTCTTTACATTGCCTCTCGGTGTGCATGATTCCAGCCAAAGAGGATTAGTTGCAACAAAAAGGCAAGAAAAGTAAAACAAAAGTAAACAATATTCTCTAGAGATTGACGATCCAACATTTTCATTTCTGTGAAAATTATGAAAATAGCAGCTGTTTGTTTTTGATGTATCGAATTTATACTAAAAATTTCTACGTTTTTTGTTTATGTTTTTCGAAATTGTTAAAAATTAAAAAAATGTTCGATCGTCAATCCCTAGTAAGTGTTGCACTAAAGATACTTACCAAGTTTCACGGTAATCGGTTGGATAGATTCGAGATATCTTACACACCGTTTCTGGAAATCTAGTTTCGAGAAAAACGCGTTTAAAGTTTCAGAACGTTATTTTTCATATGTATCCTCTACTTATTTTTTTTTTACTTATATATCGCGGCTAGTTGTTGCAATTCACAACTAAATTGAATCCAAATCACCTCATATTCGTTTCACCAAGTAATATTTGAATCACATTTACACTTTATAATAGTGCTTAAAGTTGTAAACAGTGATGCAAATTCAATTATTCTATATCCGGATTTATTATTATACCCCAAAATAAGTCGTTTTAAAGTCTAGGACCTTTTGTATCTTATCTCTAAAACTTCAAACTACTGTTTAAGACAAAAAAAAAAGATCGATTTTTTCAAAATTTCAAACTGTCCTGATCCTTTAAATCGTAGGGTTTTTAACCTCTTGCGCTGGAATGACGTGCCACTCACGTCGAAAATTTTGTTTCAAAATTGTAATATTTTCTCAGTTCTAAGTAAAACAAATTAGGCAAAACAAATAATAAATTTTTTACTTCTCAATAATTTCTATCCAGTGATATCAAACCGACGAGTTCAAAAAGAAAGCGACGAATTATTGTGTACGGTTTGGTCACTCGTTATGGTCCGCAATCACTGTGCCAGCGTAAATGGTTAATTAACGCAGCTGCGTTCTGTGAACTATTGTCGATCTAATCGTATTTTTTTACTGTTGACAAAGTCTTTTTTTTTTAAGTTTGACGGAATTATTTATTATTTAAAAAATTATTATTATTATATATTATTTAAATTATATTTTATTATTTAAAAGAAATCTCGATTAAAAAGATGGTAAATAGGGGTGTGAATGTTTATGCAAATTGAACATTTTGTGGATTAAGGAATTTAAGGAATTTAAATAGTGATTTGTTTCAGTCTTTTAAATATCATAATGATTACTATAATTGTATGTTTTCGTACGTTATATGCGTTCCATCTTAAAATTTTTCACAAATGCGTGAACGTTCAATGATAAAAGATATGCAGAATGGATACAGCATGCGAGAAATAAATGAATTAATTAATGAACGAAACAAATTTCTACAATTTTATAATTTTCTATAATTTTATAAATTTATTTTATAATTTTCTATAATTTTATAAATTTATTTTATAATTTTATATAATTTTATAAATTTCTATAATTTTAAAATTATGTTTATAAAAATATTGCCAGCCCATTCTCATTACCAATTTTATATTTTGACCAATTAAAATGTAAATTTTTTTTTTTTTGATTTTACGTTGAACATTTTGTTGAAACATTAGAAGATATTAACTTTTTCTTTATTTGTCGCAAAACCGTCAGGATTAATCGCTCGAATTCAACACCCGATTGAATATATGAAACTGATAGTATCAAATATTCGAATCGAAAATTGAATCAGAAATAGATTGGATTAAATTCCAAATTGGGTGAAATCGAGTCAAAATCATATTCGCTCAATCACGCTCGATCCCTCGATAATTAAACATCTGTTAGATTAAAGCAAGATTAATTCATGTTAAAACTTAATATGTCCAATTCTATCTAATCAGTTTAAATGTAGTCAAATCGAAACTTTATTGTTCATTTAATCGAATTCCACGATGCATGTGATAAATACGCAACATGGTTCGTAAAACATTTTTGTTCTTTTTGATTTGCAAGGTATTTGCCTTAGGGCCAAGAACAGGTTCTGTCGAATCGTTCCGCGAAACAAATTAGTTGGACAGAGACGTATGACCCTTCTGGTACTTATTTATAATGTACATTGGCTCACGAAAGTATTGAAACATATACCATTTATGTTTATAGTGACTTTTATTAACGACTGCAGAATCGTACTTTTGGGAACGTAATTAAAAATATTGAACTTGGACAGAAAACTATTCTACATGACAGATATTATAATATATTGTAAGATATTATAATAAGCATTGTGAATTTTTATATTATATTATATATTATATTAATTATATAATTTATTATATTTGTACAATTATATTATATAGTTATAAATGTTAATTATGTAATATATTTCATTAATATATATTATATAATATAAAAATGTTTCTATTTTTTTTCTTGTTATGTGCATTTTTTGCAATTTTCTATTTTTAAATTTCTCGTGAAAATTCGCACTCTACATTTAACAAAAAATTAAAAAATATCTCATATCCTTATTGATATGCATGATTTTTCGTCAAAAGTTTGACGGCTTTTTAAAATATTATTAGTCCTTTTGCTAAATTGAAAATTTGAGACCGCATGATTAAGAATGGAGGAACTAAAAATGAAAAGTTCATTTTCAAAGTTTCAAGTTTCAAGAAGTCAAGTTTCAAAATTGATCAGTTACATTTAAATTTAGACGATTGGATTGGTGAGGAATAGATGATATAGAAGAGGAATAGAAGAGGAGATTGTTTTATGTCAAAGTCGAATGAAAATAAGTCAAAAGAATAAAATAAAATATTTAACAAGTCGCTTTCGAAAAAATCAATCTTAGAAACTTATCAAATACACTTATCGTTTGCCAAGTAATTTTTTTAAACTAAATTTAATAATAATCATAATAATTATAAATGTAATTTAATAATTTTTTGAACTAATTTTTAATTAAAGTCTAAATTATAAATTTTGTTTTACATTTTATTATTGTTTCATGTTTTATTCTCGCTTTATTATTTCAATTATCAATTATGTCAATTATAATTTAGTTATTTTATCATCATTTCGTATTTTATCGTATTTCGTACTAGAATAATCTCTAGGTCGAACATCAGTTATTTATTCCTATCCAGTCTAGTTCAGAATTAATCAAATTCAAGCATATTTGACAAACTTTCAAATTTTATTTTCTCGACAGCTTACACAAACAAATTTTATTTTTTCTCTTCAACTATGCTATAGTTATACTAGCATATATCATGATCCCTCTACAATTCCCTTTTAGCAGTTCAAGAGTTCAATTTGTACATCAAATCATTTTCTAATATATGAATTAAATAGTGAAAATTATTTTTTATAATCTTAAGAGTCACATTAATGGTTTATTACAATATTTCTATGTAATAAAACATGAGAACAATAATTCGATATGATAGAAAACAAGAATATTAATTGAATAATTCTTAGAAATCAAATTTTTATTGTGCAGTTCTTTAAATTTTCTAATATTCTTCTATTTCTATTTTATTTTGTATTCTACTTTAAAAGTGACTGCTAATTTTTTTTGAACAAATTATATATTATCTCAAATGATACTTTTTTAGAATTTCAAACAAGTAGTTACCATTGATTCTCAACTACCAAATCTTGATTTAGAACCAAAGCAGTATAAATTTAAACTGTTGTTTTTATAAAATGAACGTGTTACTAGGGTATTTTTAAAATCGTAAAGTTTTCGATTATGATAGTCATTTTTATGTAAGAAATCTATTCTTTCGAATTTTAATGACGTTTTATTGGTATTTTATGTAGATTATAGAATTACCTTTCAAGCAGCATTAAGTAATATTTATTTCTACAAGTGAATAAATCTTTACTATAATAATTTTATCATGGGAGTTCTTAGAATGTAAAAAATTTAAATGAAGTTAAAAAATGTAAAAACTCAGTTAGTGGAGGGACGACTTTGTATATTCAGAAAAGATCTATGAACAAATATTCATAGAACATTTTCTTAAACTTGTGTACTTACACTTTTAGTTTAGTGCATTACTACCATTAGATTCTCATTGGATCAAGTCAGAATCCTCCAAATTTTGTGAATGATACACGAACAGTACATTAGTATTTGTAAGACATTGATATTTATAAGAGTACATTAATATTTGTAAGAAAAATAAAAATTTCTATCGTTCGTTTTCATAGTTATTGACAGAATATATTAAATTGAAATGATAGTGTTTTCAAGCTTACACTTGTTTACTTTTTATTAAATCAAATAAAAGACACAACACAAAGTTTTATAATAAAAATAAATTCTAGTAATAATTAAATAAAGCTTTACAATAAAAATATATTCTAGTAATAATTAAATAAAGTTTTATAATAAAAATATATTTCTGTAATAATTAAAAGTTAATAATGTTACTAATAGTTCAAAGTAATGAAAATGAATTTTTCAAGAAATAAATAAGTAAAATTTATTTTGTACCTTTCGCATTAGGGTTAATTAATTTATTTTAATAATTTTAGTTATTTCGAGAGCAAATGATCTAAATACACGGTTGTGGACAGACGCACCACTTTCTTCGGGTTCTGTCGTAGATCGGGAGCGATCGTAGATGTAATTTCATCTGTAAACCGCAATAAAACGTGAAATGATAGACTTTCTCGGCTCGTCGCTGATCGAAAGT